TAAAATGAAATAATAGAATAATTAATTTTTAATTAATTATTAGAAGAAAAATTAATTTTATTCCTTAAATTTTATAAATTTTCGAATTAAAAATGATTTAGAATATTGGCCGAGAGTATATATATGTCTTAAAATATCACAATATATGCATCGAATAAATTGGCCCGACCACAGGGTGTCTACATTAAAGGGTCACAAACACCCTCGTCTTTTATTCAAAGGACATGTTCACTCGGCGTGGATTCGTCGAGATTCCTACACAGCCAGCTTTCTTCTTCTCCTTCCATGCGCGTTCAAAGCACGACCGGTCTCCAAGTATTCCCGTAATCGATCAGACAAGAGCTTAAGGCAATTTCGGCCAGGTGGGTGTCCCGATGCGGTGGACAGGCGACTCGGTGAAATCTCTTCAAGGCGTCGCACAGCGTCCGGATCGCCTCGTCGACCCTTTCATCCTCCATACTAGCCAATCCGCGGGTATAGAGCGTCTCGCACTCTTGCAGGCACGCGAGCCGATCCTCCAAGCAGATCTTCTTCTGACAACCCGGACATTTTATCAGCTTACCCGGCCGTTGCTGCGCTCGCGAATGCAGTCCGCTGCATCCTTCCGTAGGACATCTGGGGAAGGAAAAACGCTCGAAAGAATATTTTCTCATGTCAAAAATTTTCATTATAACTCTTGCGCAGGATGTCTCAAATGCTGTCAAAAATTCCTTTAAGATTCCTTTTCAGATTCCTTGTTCTAATTTTTTTCGTACGGAAGATCGTCAAAAGAGTTGTTGCACAATTTTTCAATTTTTGTGAATATATCTTTGTAATTAAACCAAGTTAAAATAAAATAAAATAACGAAATTAATTAAATTAATTAAGGAAGGCAATTTTTTGTTATTCAGTTGGCTAATATTTCGGATATATAATTCCAAAAAAAAAAAAAAAAAAAATCGCTGAAACATTAGAGTGGAAACATGCGATTAAAAGAATCTTGCGTTAGCGTGATGACGAAATAATTACTTATAATTGAACTTTTGTTCAGCGTCCTCAAAAGAGAGCTTCGTAGTTTATTTCTGTGAAGGAGAAAATATCGTCGACGCACGTATACAGACACGCGTTCGTTGTCGTCGACGTAAAAGACATTAAACGTAGCGGGTAGTGCTACTATCAGAAAATTACCGCGAAACTGATAAAAGCACCTGGTCGTGTCGTTGGAGTTGGTACAAGAATCTTACGACGAACGAACACAAAAGTACCTTTGACGACAGGAGCATCCTTATGGCACCGACGTTTCGTCTCTTTGAGGCGCTCGCCTCGTCGGGACTTGCGGTTTTTAACGATCTCGACAAACATCTGTTTATTCTCTCTCTCTCTCTCTCTTTCGATTGCTTATTATTCTTGCTATGTGACATTCTCATGCTTTTATTCGTTATCGTATTAATATTTTGACGTTTCTTTATTTTTAATTTAATATAACAAAACATTTTTGGAAACAAAGTATATATTTATTCAAGTAAAAAAATCAAAATTAATAAAATGTATTCGATTTAAAAAAATTTTATTTTTATTTTCAATTTTCAATTTAAATTTTAAATTTTATTTTTAAATTTGTTGAGATTTTATTTTATTTTTTTCCATTACTTAAATACTTATCTCAGTTAAATATTTGACACACACGTGTTCAAATATCGTATTAAAAGTCGTTATATTCAGCCATTATCCGAAAGGGGAAAGTTATTATCAAGTACGCAACTTAATAAATCGAAAAAGGTCGGGGGCGATGCAATTACTTCGCCATGAAATAATAATCGTAATCATCACAATGGCACCGGCGACGTTAATAACGTGAACAATTCCGCCTGCACCGAGTAACGCAGACGAGTTTGTGACATTACCGAATAATGAGCGCGCTGGTGTAATTTCGCGTATAATGGCCGCGACCCACGAAGTCATCACGAACGCGCTTTAGTGCTGCCCGAAATACACGCGAATCCACGTACTTAATTAGCGTTAATAGATATCTTGGTAGAAATCTCGCGATTATATCTGTAAATACACAAAATTCTGCGGAAGAGGATATTAATATCTTAACTCCAATTACACGTTGTTTATATTGACTTAATCAAACATAAATTGAAGATTCTATTATACTCCAACGAATATATAATCATTTATAATTGCAAAAGTTATTTGACAAATTTTTAGCTCACACGCAGATTATTTTACCTAAAATTTTGTCGATTTTCTTTAAGTACTCACGGGAAGATATATAAACTCGGCGAAAGTTAAAAGATTTATTTAGACGAGGAATAAAGGTTTTCTGCTAACAAAGCGCGCGAACTTGTTGAAGGACTCCGGAAGAAGTTCGTTTAACAGACTACGAGCGGTCGATTAATAATTCGCGCGATGACACAGGCGATTGTGTACCGTCTGGTTATACTAATTAGCTCCCATCTACCGTGGCGGTCTACTCTTTTACACGACCGCGTTATTAATATGCAAATGAAGACGAGTCACGCACGCTTGCCAGAGCGCAAAGTTCGGCGAGACCGCGTGCGTTTCGTAAACTTGTGTGTGTATATGAGAAAAATTGTAATAAAAGATTTTATATACACGCATAAAGAGGAACGTTTTCACAGAGATATCTTTTATTTCGCAAGAATAATGATAAATTATTCTCGTAACAATTTCACACACGTTAGATTTCTTACTTTTATATTTAAAAGTTATATTCCGGAGAATACATGCAATAAAAATAAAATTTTTTTCGATCAGATAAATACATTTTGTTAATCTTGATTTTTTTTATTTAAATAAATATCTACTTTGTTTCCAAAAATGTTTTGTTGTATTAAATAAATTATTATTTGCATGTAATAAAAAATATCATTTTTAAAATAAATTACTTAAAATTTTAATATAAAAAATATTTATTTCAAGATNNNCCAGTTCCCTGCGCATTCCTCCCGCACCTTTCCACCACCACCCCCCCTTTTCCGCCGTTCTCGGCTTCTCGGCAAAAACTTTCCGCGACTCTTTTCGCTGAGCGTTGTTAAAATTACGGCTTCATGGCTCGCGAGTGAAGAAGAATTTGCTGAATCGAAAGTTGATCCTCCGCGCGAGCGAGCACATTTTTTCCCTATTATATCCAAGTTAAATACAGATCGTGAAGGGGGGGGGGAGGAGGGGGGAGAGAGGGAAGATCCTTTGTGAGGGTAAAACCGATGATAAGTACCGTCGTCCGGCGTGGGATGCGCGAAGAAGCCGACTCTCTGCAGGCATCTGAGCAGGAAGACCGCCATCAGCGATCTCTCTAGGAAGTCTCTCCCCGTCCGCTTGTTCGCGTGCGTCACCAGATTGTACGGTGCCATGTCGACATTGTCGTGGTCGTCGTCGTCGTCGTTCCCGCTCTCGCGGGACTCCTTTGTGTCCTGTCCCCCTCCCCTCCTCATCTCAATTTCGCCTCGTCTCGATTCCTTCAGCTTCCTCCGTCTGATCCTTCTCCTGGCCGACCGGCTAGTTGTCGACGATTTCGCATCACGCATATCCGGTATCGTCGTCGTCGTAGACGTCGTCAAAGACGTCGCGACCTTTTCGCCGCCGCTCTTCTTTAACTCCTCGTAGATCTTCAAACACTTCCGCGGGCCCTCCTGCGTCACCATCCGAAAGGCGACCGTGCTGAGTACGCTCATGCCGGAGCCTGAAGGAGGGAATTCAAGAGCGACTCATAATTACCCTGTAAGAATCTCGGTTATGACGCTCAAGAAATGCCAAGTTGCGCGTATAAAATGGACCTTTTATTTGCGGAGATGAATGCCTCTCTCTCTCTCTCTCGAGGAATATAATAGAACTCATTATTTCACATATAAATTATTATTACATCGCCGGTTATATTAATTACTATTTATTAATTGTATCGAGCAAATTTGATACACGCAATGCATATTTTTTGTTTAATTGAAATGGTTTCATAAAGATTATAGAGATATTAATTGAGATATCAATAATTGTTTAATTATGTAACGTTAAAATTGAAGAAGATTTTCAATAAATTTTTGATGGACTTTATTTTTGCAAAACATTTTTATTGAAAATATTATAGTTACTAAATAATCTAGAGATATCAAATATCGCAAAAAGTTATGATGTCTAATTAAATTTTAATAAAGAAAAGATTGTTTTGAGTTTGAAGAAGAAACATTGCAATGTTCACCAGGGAAAATGTTATCGAATATCTATAATACTTTATAACGATACTGTATAAAGAGAGCTTTCTTTTATTATCCTTACCTATCAACAATGCGAGTATTTTGCACTCGTACTTGTGATACGTCGCCATCGCGATGTCCCTGCATTTTCTCCCGCAGAAAGCGACGCAACTGCAATTCGGGCATCCGATCGGCGCTTTCAGTCTAAAAATTTCCCGGATATTCGTAGATCGATCGAAAGGAAGATGGGGTTAGCCGTTGGGAGTGAATTATGCAAATTAACGAATAAAAACCGAGGGCGAAAACTTTTTCCGCGCTTGCGAAAGCGACGAGATTCAATCCCGATAAGTTTTAATCTATCGATTAACAATTTTACGATAATATATATACAAACGCGGATCTATAATAGACAAATCACTCTGTGTAAAAAATAAGGTTGCACGAGATTCAAGACAAGACAATATTCGTAAAAATATTGTGTATCGGTATTGAAAATTTTCGTGAACTTAAATCTTGTCCTGGTCTTGAGTGAATCTTGGTAGCAAAAATCTTGTCTTGTATTGTCTTGTCTCGATTTTATTAACAATTTTTATCTAATACTGAACAATTTTATCTAATACTGAACAATTGTTTCAAATAATATATTTAACAATATTTAACAATATATTATTTATAATATAATATTATAATAAATATAATATTATAAA